CTCCAGTGTGGGTCTCTGTCTCTATCTCCATCCATCGCCAGATGAAGGTTCTATGGTGATATGCAAGATATTCATCAGTATTGCTATAGGATAGGGTCATTTCAGGTTCCCTATCCTCATCTGCCCAAGGAACTAACTGGGGACATCGCCTTGGGCACCTGGGAGCCCCTCTAGGTTCAAGTCTCTTGCCAACCCTAAGGTGGCTCCCTTAACTAAGATATGCTTACACCCAAATCTTGAAGTCAAGATACCTTCTGTTGGTTTAGCTTAGTAGCCCCACAATCATTTGATTGTCTCTGCAGTTGTTGTTCCTTTCTTTTTAGCATTTAGAAAATTAGGTTAATAAGGCATTATGTAGTCTATCTCTGAGGGGTATTTATTACCCCCTTTCTTTTAAAGTGCAATTAGATATTTCTAAAACTGCTTGTCCTGTAGGATTATGTAGTATACCTGTAACATGCTTTATATTATAATACGCAAAAATCTTTTTTTATTTACTAGTGATATATGCTGGAGCATTGTCAGTTTTAATTTATGTAGGTATTACCATGATGGCCATGACTTCTGATAGGTGTGTAATTACAGAATTAGCCTTTTCAGAACTCAAAGCAGTTGCCCATTGGAATCCTGACTATGTATCTGTTATATGGTGTACATATTTTAATTTTCCTATTTCTGAAAAATGAAGCACATCCATTTGCCAAATTTCATTTCTTTGCATACCTTTAGGGTTATTTCCTGCAGGTCATGGAATTTGATTATACAGGAACAAGTAGGATATTTTTTCACAATTTCCTTGGGTTGTTGCTGAGTGATGGAAAAATTCTTTTTCAAACCTTTGCTATTTACTTAGTGTTTTTTATGGAATTCTGAGGCCTCCAGCACATTTTCTATTAATAACTGATCGATTTCATCATTACCTTGTGCTAGAGCACCTGGTAGACGCATATACACAGAAAAGGGGAAATGTTGTGGGTTATCTTTTTGTATGCTGTGAATATGTTTTATTACCATTGGTTTATTTCTTTATTAAAAGAAAATAATTTGGTCATTAGCCAGGCAGAATAGAACCAGGAGGAAAATCCAGAGATATAGGGAGAAAAGGGGCAGAGTCAGGGAGACGCCAACAGTTGCTGGAGAAGCAAGATGTGAGGTAATACCATAGCCACGTGGCAATTCCATAGCCATGTGGCAATGCATAGATTAATAGAAATGGGTTAATATAAAATGTAAAAGCTAGTTAGTAATAAGCCTGAGCCACCTGTCAAGCAGTTTGTAATTCATATTAATTCTCAGAGTGGATATTCAGGAACTGGCGGGCAGGAGAGAAGCCTCCAGTTGCACCCTCTTCTTGCTATTCCCTGAGCCTTGCAGCAAGGAGATGTAATATAGACTTATGGACATACCATCTCTAGGCATATACTCCATTAACACCTATTTCTTGCTCTCTGATTCTCAACAAGTATCTTTGAGCAGGACATGAGAGAAGTGCCTCTGAATGCCTGGGAGAAGTTTCTAGCCACAGGTGAGCATGCATGAGAAGAGAACAAGAAGGGCTTGGATCAGCTAGGCACAGGGATGGCAGTGGAGTGAGGGCAGGTTGGGGGAGCTTCTCCAGGTCACCATAGAGAGTCAGTGCATGTGGGAGACTGCAGTGAACTATCTGAGACTCAATCACCAGAACCAAAATCTCACCAGAATGATCTGGCTCAGGGGCCTTCAATACCCAGGAAGACCACATCAGTTCTCTCCATTCTCTTGTTTACCTTTCTTTATCCACAGACTGAGAGCTTTTGGATTGATACCAGGGGATTTTGATAGACCACAAAAGAGATAAAAATCTCAATTTGTAAAAATTCCAGTTAAAATGTTTGCACCCCCAGGAAGACAAAGTTAGTTTCATTGATCTTACATAAACTATAGCATTTTGTTTTACTGGGATTTGGATAGTTTTACTTTTAATTAATCTATCGATTACTTTAAACTGTGAATGTGCTCTGAGAGGAAGTTGTCTGCCTGTCACAGTGAAGCAGAGGAATGTGTTTGTTCCTCTGAATGTTAGTATAATCCCAATTGAGCTTCCACTATGCACCATTGTACTCTGGTTCAAAAGATAATTCATAGATTTAATATAGATGTCTCTGTGTCAGTGTCCTGATGGCTTTTTCAAGCAAACAAATTTCTAAAAACTATGTGTTCCTATTATTTCATTTATTTTAGAAATTTCGTGAGTGGTCATTTCGGGCACGGTGTTAGCGGAGGCTTATTCTGAGGAGGACACATGTGTACCTCAGCCTGGCCTGGAACTTCTGATGACTCTCCTGCCTCGGCCTCTAAAGTACTAGGGTTGTAAGTTATTATCCACTCTGCCTGGCTTATTTATGGTCTTTTGCTGTTGTTTAAAGTTTTGGTTTATGCAGGCATACGATTGCTCTTTGTTTCTTTCTGGGGTAACAGGGATAGAACTCAGGACCTTGTGCGTGTTTGGCAAGCACTCTGCTACCAAGCTGTATTCCCAGCCAATAGATAGTAATGTTTGTAGATTTCGGTGATTTCTTTGATGTAGGCATTGTTTTTATTTCTGTCCTTTTGTTTTCTTATAACCACAGTGGCTGTGGTTTGCAGCACTCTGTTGACGATGGAAAGTGTCCAGCAGGGCTTTGTCCTGGTCTCAAGGGGAGAGCCTTTCATTTTCACCATTGAGTACCATGCTGGGTATAGAATTTTTATAGATGCTTTTTGTCAAGTTCAAGTCATTTTATTTCTCTTTTGCTGAGAATTTTGTTAATCATAAATTTCTTTCTCGCTTTTCTATATTAATTGACAGAACCATATGCTTTCCCATGTTTGTCCTACTGATATTGGTTACATTTATTAATAATCAAATATTAAATCAGCCCTTCACTTCCCTGATAAATCACTTGATTATAGTGTGTGTGGTATGTGCTGAGTGTGTGTTTTATCTGTGCTGCACATATGCCTCTGGAGGATAGAGGTTCACAGAGATTGACAAAGGGCGCCTCCTCAACTTCTCTATACTGATTCTTTTTACATATTAATGCTTTTGTTTCGTTATTTTTGAAAGTTTGAGCATTTCTATTTAAAAAATTACCACAAGTGAAAACAATGACTACTTAATTAATTATACTAATTATTAATAATAATAAAGAGTGGGGAATCAGTCGTTTTTATATTCATCATTCTCTATACACACATGTATATACACATATATGTATATATACACACACACACATATATATACACACATGTGTGTATATACACATAGACACATACATATGTATACACACATATGTGTGTGTTTGTGTGTCTATGTGCACCCCTTGCCTGCCTAGTTTTGTGCCCAATACCCAAGCTGGGTGGCTCACAGTTGCCTGCAATGCCAGGCCTAGAAGATCTGACACCCTCTTGAAGCCTCTGTAGCATGCATATACATATACATATACACTCACATACACATAATTTTAAAAAATCAGGTTTGGGAAGATGAAGGCGTAAGTCATAAACAATGCCACACCAGTTTGGAATTATGATTAATAGGGTGGTATTTATTTAAAGGGGAAAAAACTTACAGATCACCGTCAGCCCTCTGCGCAACCAGGAAGGGAGTCTAGTCGCCGGCGGAGCAGGAAGTGAAGAGAGAGGAGAGGGAAGTGGCCGCTTTTTTAAAGGGAGAGAGACCAAGCCCCAATGGGCTGGTATCTCAGCGGCGATAGGCTGGAGGACCTCCCGTAACAGGGAGATGGCTCAGTGGTTATATGTACTGCTTTTGTAAAAGTCCCAGGTTTGGCTCCCAGCACCCACATGGCAGCTCACAACTGGCTATAACTCCCACTCCAGGGGAATCCAGTGCCCTCTTCTAGACTCCCCATCTACATAGACAAACACGTAATCAAAATAAAATAAACCTTTAAGAAAATAAAATGCTGACATTTAACTAATATCTACCTCTGTATAGTCAAACATGTACAAGTGACTAGTAATCAGAATTAGAAACTAGTCATCTTCTAATTGGACCATAGAAATGATCTATCCCAGGAAAAGGGGAGATTGCTTGGTTTGTGAAAGGACTTGTCTTGCAAGAATGAAGTTCAGGTCTCCAACAAAAGCCAGGTGTGTCAGTGAGCACTCAATATTACAGTTCTGGGAAAAAGAGGCAGGCAGATCCCAGGGACTTGCTGGACAACAAGTGCAACTTGGAATGATTGGCTCCAGGTTCAGCCAGAGACCCTGAATCTAAAACATTAGGGCTGGTGAGATGTCTCAAGCCTGACACCTAAATTCAGTTCCCATAATCCAACAACCACAAGTTGTCCTCTGTCTGCTACACATATGCCATGGCACGTATGCATGTGCGCGCGTGCACACACACACACACACACACACACACGCACACACACACACACACACACAGAGATTGACGTAGCTAGGAAAGTTGGGTTTTTCTTACACTTACTATAAAATGGTGTGGGAAAATTGTCTGTATTCTGTCAATCATGTTATAAATAAACGCTGATTGGCCAGGCAGGAAATATAGGTGGGAAAACCAGACAGGAAGTAGAAATGATGTAATGAGAACAGGAGAATTCTGGGAAGGAGGAAGCTGATACCTCCCACTCCTGCCCAGACCACCAAAGCAGCAGGATGTGATCTGCCCCACTGAAAAAAGGTACTGAGCCACATGGCTAACATAGATCAGAAAAATAGGTTAATCAAGATGTGAGAGTTAGCCAGTGAGAGGCTAGAACTAATGGGCCAATCAGCTTATAATTTATGGAGACCTATGTGTGATTTTCTTTGTAGCCAAACAATTGTGGGGAACCTGACAGGACAGAAAACACAAACAAGCAAGCAGGTTCCCTTCATGTTACAATAAAATGTCTCTTTTTCACAGTATAGCTGTAGCTTTGTTTTTAATGTTCCAAACTCTCCTTAAAACTTATTTCAAAATAAGTTATTTGAAGCTGATTTTTCTATTTTAGAGCCATACAGTTCCTCCTGGTGATCTATTGATGGTGTCTCCGTTCTGGCTACACAGAAATCCAAAATATTTTCTTGAACCTGACTCATTCAAACCTGTAAGTGCTCTCTTTCAATATGTATAATCCTTTATAATTTCTGTTGTTTTTTTGCTAAGAATATAAATACATAAATTAACTGAGTATGTCTCAGTAAGTAGCCATATATTCTGGCAACCGTGTCCAAAGTTGGCTACGATGGACCAATAGCATTTTCAATGTAGATGTCACACCATTGACAGGTCAAGTGGAGTGTGGAACAAGCATCCTCAAAGATGGACTTTTATACAAAATTAGGAAAGAATATGAAAGCCAGTAGCCCTGGCTCTGCTGGAAGGAAGTCTTATTTTGTGTTTCTTGGGCAACTGCTTCTGTTACTGGTTTCCAAGGAGCCCACAAAATAAAAACACAGCAAATTAAAGTGGTGATCTGTTGCTTCATCTGCTTGGGGAATCACAGGCCTGAGCTGTTCCAAGAGTTCATCTAGTTCATGCCTTGCCCTTAGGAAAGTCTGGGAGCACTGGCACCCAGATGTATTTATTCCATGCCCCAGGCTTCCTCCAGGCAAGCAGTTTTGTCAGTGCCTTGCTGCTAAATTTATTATTATGATTAATTTTATGATAAAGCCTGAGACTGTGTTATAAATAGTCTTCCTCCGCTGAGGTCAATTCTGTAGGTGATTTACGTTGTCATTTACATCTTCTACTTAATAGGATTCTTGTTAAGTCCTTTTTGTTTATAAGTTCATGTTCCAAAACCACAATTGTGTCTGATATTAATAACAGGTTGGAAAAAATGACCCACAACACCGCAACTTCGTATGCAAGGATTAGCTGTACAGCATCATTTTTAGCCCAGAGAAGTAGAGTTAAGCTTATTTATATAAGGCTGGTTTAGGAAAAAAAAGTATTTTCTTCCCACAGGAACGCTGGAAAGAGGCAAATTTAGATAAGAATGCTTTCTTGGACGGCTTCATGGCTTTTGGAGGCGGGAAGTTCCAGTGTCCCGGAAGGTCAGTGCAACAGCTGGACAGCATGGATGCAGAAAGTGTACAGAAAGACAGTGGCTCTGGGGGAGTGTGACACCCAGTCCCTTTATAATCGAGCTATAGGGAAATCTAGGAGGGCACATTTGGTTTGTTTGGGCAGTGGCGGGGAGGGGTGTCCGTGGGAATGTCTGCGGTGACTTCTGACGAGAGACCTCAGGAGACGACACTACACTAGCTGGTGCCAGGGGATATTGGGGCCTCCACAGTTCATGGATGGGCAGTTTCAAGTACCACCTGCCCACGTGTGCATGTCATCAGAGGGTATGTGAAGCATGTATGCAAATGCATTTGCACACACGTGTCTGTGCAGATGAGAGTACACACTTAGACGTTCTTCCTCAGGTACTCCCCATCTTCAACTGGCCAAGTAGACTATGCTGGCAGGCCAGGTAGGCCCAAGAATCTGCCTGTGCCCACCTCTGCAGCCCTGGGATTAAAGGTGCATGTTTCTATGTCTGAGTTTTACTTGTTTTGTGTGTGTGTGCGTGTGTGCATGCATGCATGTGTGTGTGTGTGTGTGTGTGTGTGTGTGTGCACGCGCGCACATGTGTGTTTAGTGTAAGCTTTGGAAATAAACTTGGGTCCTTGTGCTGGCCTTGCAGTTATCTTCCAAACACATAACCACATTTTAAAGAGCAAAGGAGTACATTTGCTTGGCTACAGTGCTGTCATATACGTTTGCTAGGGTTCTGGACATTGCTGGCTTGTAGGTAGGCAGCAATTGATATGTGGTCCTTTATCTGGTTCCTTTGCTTGCAGAGCCTTCCCTCGGCACTCTTTATAGTCCAGTGCATCTGCAGTCAGTGCACTTGGCACCTGTTCTAGCACAAGTCTCTATCATTTAATGGACTGTTTATATATTACTTATCCAACCAGGAAAACATTGACCGTTTCCTTTTGCCCAGGATAGGCATTGGGGAAGGCAGACATGATCTGTCCCTCATGAGATTCACACTCTACATTAGGTAACTCCCATTTCTTCATTGAAGAAGACCAAATTGGAGAAATGTTGTCATTTATTTGTAATTCTCCCACTCAAGAAATCATTACAAGTTCTTTAAAATAGTAACAAACTTTAACAAACTTTAATTTCTTAATTTAAAAAGTCATTTATTGTCATCTCAATTGTAATTTCAGATCATATTCACAATCATTATCCTGTAAAGCATTAACTCTATTCCTCTTTCTGTGTATTTTTGAGTATCAGTATGATTTTTATAGTTACATCTCTTCCTAAATGATTTTAATTCAGTCTTAGCCTACCATGAAAATTCTGACCTCCCCTTTAGAACTGATTTCAGGGACCTAAATCTGAGCAGATTGGTACATGTTGTTTCCCTGTAGACAGTTGTTTATCCTGCACTAGGTAGTTGACATAAAATGACCCAATCAAAGCAAAAGGGGACTTTTATTTACATAATTAGAAAAAGATATTTACTTTACCCCTTGCACCCCAATCAAATATTGTCATCCTCAACAACAACAGAGACAAATCAGCCAGGGCTTAGAGCGGCCATCTTTATGACAGGTTGGAGCCTGTGGATGAGAGAGCAATGATATGGAAAGATCCTGGGTCTGTGTGATAGGTCCCGCCATGTCACGTACGGAAGCATCCTGAAGAACTTGTCTAGTTTCTGTTTTATTTGATGATCAATGTCCACATTTTAAAGACAGTTTTAGGTAGAGGTTCCATGCTTAGAGCTGGATACCTACTCACATACAAGAGCTAGACACTATCAATGCCTGCCAGGCAGTGCATGAAAAAAGTTTAAACAGTACAACAGCAACAAAACCCACCTCTTTCATTCTGACTCTCATGATTGCCACTTTAGCAAACCAGTTTGTTAAAGAGAAAAAGATTTATCTCACTTTTTAATTTACGTCTCTGTGTGTATCTCTGTGTGAGTATGTACACGTGTGTAGGTGCCCACAGGGGCCAGAAGAGGGCATCAGAACACATAGATCTGGTGTTACCAGCCATTACAACATGGTGATGTGTGTGCACATGTGTAGATGCCCACAGGGGCCAGAAGAGGGAATCAGAACACATAGATCTGGTGTTACCAGCCATTACGACATGGTGATGTGTGTGCACGTGTGTAGATGCCCACAGGGGCCAGAAGAGGGCATCAGAACACATAGATCTGGTGTTACCAGCCATTATGACATGGTGATGTGCGTGCTTGAACTTGTGTACTTTGCAAGAGCAGCCATTTCTCCAGTCCCAGAAAAGCAGTTCTTAACCCAATGAGAAGTCCATCGTTTTTGTCACTTAGTAAGTCATTATCCTAGCTGTAATTCTTCTGAAAACAGTAGATGCTTCTTTTTTAGGTCTCTTCATATAAATAGTTAATAGCAACTTAAGAGTTTCTTATACTTGTCTTTGGCTTTGAGCCTGTTACTGAAACCAAGTACTATAGTATTTACAGTGACACTTGTAGTAGGAGCCAGTGGTGAACAATTGCCTGGGAAGTATTGTTCCCTAGAGAAACTATCACCACTCTCCCTGGGAGCTCTTAAGGCTAAGAGACATCTATTTGAGTATAAAGGCAATGGGTACAATGAAGACCACGAAACTATAACTCAACCAGTAGTATCTTATTTGGACAAAAATCATATTGTCAGTATGTGTTGAATCCTTCCCATATGCAAGGCAGTGTCCTCTGTACCTCAGGGGATTTGAATATGAGGGAGAGCCATATTCTTAACTGTCCTGGGATGAACACTTGCTGTTGACAAGGACACTGGATTTCTAAATAGCTGCAAGGGATGGAGACTAGCAATGCTGCACAGCATACTATTCAAGACAGAGGGGTCGCTGCTTAGGGGAACTTGGTGACTTCATAGGAAAAGTGGCCTTTGAAGGGAACAAAGAACTGTTAGGTTGAGGAAATAGAATGACCAAAAGGGATATCAGCACAGAAGAGCGTGAACTTATGTTTTAGTGATGTTTGAGCCAGATTGGATCAGGATTGGTTGAGAAAGATTGACTGTGAACATTGGCTTGGTGTGCTGGCTGATCTTGATTGTCAACGTGACACATCTGGGGAGTTCTCAAAGAGGAATTGCCTCCATCAGATTGGCCAATGGATGCCTCTAGGCATTTTTGTGATTGCTGATGTATGTGGGAAGGCCCAATCCTCTGTGGTTAGTACTACCGCTAGGCAGGTGGCTCTGGCCTGTATAGAAAACATAACTGAGCCAACTGTGGGGAGCAAGCCAGTAAGAATTATTCCTCCGTATTCTCCGCTTCAGCTACTGCCTCCAGATTCCTGCCTGGACTTCCATCAGTGATGGACTGTAACGTGTAAGATGAAAAAAAAAAATGTTACCTCCCCATGTTGCTTCTGGAAACCAAAATTTGAATTCTCTGAACATTCGTGGCTGTCGCAGATGGTGCAAATAGCTGATTAGGAGCAGAGGGGGTTGGGGGAAAGATATTAAAGTTTTCCTTTGGAAATTCTGACTATGAAACATGGCAAAATATCCCTCATATAATCAGACTCTACAAGGTGAACACAAACGTTGGCTATGACTTACCTGTTTTTAAAAATCTTTTTTTTTTGTCTTTTTGTTTGTTTGTTTTTATTGATCTATATATTTTTCTCTGCTTCCTTTTCTTTCTGCTCCCTCCCCTTCTACCCTCTCCCATGATCCCCATGCTAGCAGTTTACTCAGGCGATCTTGTCTCTTTTTCTACTACCCATCTAGATTAGATCCATGTACGTCTCTCCTAGGGTCTTCTTTGTTGTCTAGGTTCTCTGGGGTTGTGCAAGTCTAGTTTTCTTCTAAGTTTCTTTTTCAAAATATCACTTTTTTCTGACACTTATTTTAGACAGGTCACTCGTGAAGCATTTTGTTTTTAAAGAGAGATAAAATAAAAATTGTTTAGTCAAGCAAATGACTTCATTTGGGTGATGTACACCAAGAGAACTTTCCACTGGGAATTTAATCCTATAAATCCTTAGTATAAACACCGGCAAATGGCAGCCATTCCTAGTGGGTATGTCAGAGGCCAACTTATTTTCTCATGCACAAAACACTCAGTGAGTCAAAGAAAGTCTCCTGCAATGTAGCTAACAATTAAATTCCATCATAAACAGAGACTCTTATGGCCATACAGCTGTTGTTCCTTAGACTTCCTGCCATTGGGGTTTCAAGAGAGTCCCTCTCTTGGGTAAACACAGAAAGTTTTGCTGATGTAGCTAAGTAAGTACTTGGTATAGCCATCAACAACTAACAGACACAATGGCAGACCTGTAGCGCCTCTTAGAAATAGTGGGGTTTGCAAAGGAACCTGTTTCTAGGCACTTCCCTGGATTTGGACTTTCTTTGGACCACAAGCTCCTATTATTAAATATAAAAGCTTGGCCTTAGCTTAGGCTTATTCCTGACTAGCTATTAAAACTTTAATTAACCCATTTATATTAATCTATGTTCTACTATGGTGCTTGTTACCTTTTCTCCATAATTTATGTCTGATGTCCTTTGCATCTTGCTGGTAATCTCTGCCTGTCACATTCTTCTGCCTAGTTCCTCTTTCTCCCCCAAATTCCCACCTATCCTCTCCTGCTTAGCCATGAACTAATCAAATCTTTATTTAAACCAATCAGAAGGTACCTTAGGCAGGTGAGGTATAACAGAGACACATCTTATAGCATACAAAAAGATTATCCAATAACATTGTCCCCCTTTTGTCTAAATAAAAAGGAAAGGTTTTTAACTCTAACATAGTAATACTATACACAAAAAGAATTACCAGAAAAGAATTGCATTCACAATATCTAGCCCATTTGTATCTGGAAAATTCAAAGAAAGCACTCTAATATCTATCCTATCTTAGTGAATCCAAAATTCTATACCGAGACCACTTTTTATTATAACTAGTATTACCTTCCTAAAATATCATTTTATACCTTAAAATATTATCTTATATAAACAAATTAAGTCTTTATGTCTTTCAA